GCTCCATTTCACTTTGGGTTCAAATGAGTCCATCTTTCAATCAATCAAGTATTAATTAAGCCATGCTAGGACATACAGGGAGAGTAAAGATACTCTCTCTTCTCAAAGGTGATACCGGAGGAATAATTAGAGAATGATTTAAGATCAACAAAAAGAGTTTAAAAAGGTTTTCATTGGACTTTCTTGGATTTTCTATTATGGAAAAATAGAAGGCCTGGGATAGCCGATTGCTTTGTTCCCTTTCCTGTCTCCTTCCTTCATCACGCTGTGTCCAGAGGGTCTGAGAATCCTTAGTCCTTTCCAGCTCCCTCTTGGGGGTGGTCCGTGTCTCCGGCGGCCTGGACATCTGGCCGCGCTGCCTGGGTCCCAGCACCTCCCCAACTTGCCAAAAGTCAACAGCATCCTCATACCCGCCCCCGAGACCATTCAGGACATTTCCTAATTTTTCTTCTCATAAATCAGAAAACTTGTTGTAGCCAAGAATTTTGCCTCTGCCACGATCCCAATGCGGGGCCTGGGCCACCCCAGCACCCTGGAGTTCAGCTTCTGTTTAGATCTGGCTCCGTCCCTGGGCTGCCTCTCTTTGCCCTTGGGCTCTGGAGCAGTGCTTGGCCCGATGTGGGCCGCAGCCCTCACGGGGTGGATGGGTGAAGGGATGACCGCATTTCTGGTGGGATAAGTGGGACAGTGTGTGAGAGGCGTGTGGTGTGAGATGCCTCACACAGCGGGCGCCGCACGATTGCCTTGGACACACTGAAGCACCATGTTTGCTCTTGGATGGTTCCGATCGTGTGGAAGGTGGAAACATCCTTTGATTAACAAATTATTTCATCCTCTCTGAGTCTGATCAGTTTCTGCTTGAACTGGTTTAGAGGGTGAGCGACCGACTCCCGGGGGATCGGGCAGACACCCTGGGCTCTCCGGGCTCCCTCGCTGACTGGTTCCATTCATCCCGGCTGCTGCTCCCCCTCTCGGCCCTCCTGACCTGAGGGATCTGATTTCTTAGGGAGCCTGCGGTGCCCATCACTATCAGCTTTCCCCCACATTTCAGCCGAAGGCTCGCTTGTTTCCCTCTGACCAGCCTCTTTTGACTCAGCTGCTTCCAAAGGCCACAGCCTCCCAACAGGGGGGTTGGCAAAGGTGTCCCCGCCTTGCACAGGAGCAGGATGATCTGCGGACTCAAAGGCCACCGTCGGCTGAGTTCTCACCAATGTGTGTGACGGAGGGGTTTCAGACAAGGCCTCACCCAGCAACTCAAAGTAGCCCTGGGTATCCCCGTCCTATGGATGAGGAAACTGAGGCCGAGATTAAGATATTTGCCCAAGGCCCTGGAGCTACTGAAGGGCAGAATGAGGTTTGATCCTGTCCTATCTTGGTCCAAAGATGCTGCTAAACCACGGGCGGCCCAGGACTTGAGTCTCTGAGCTTTCCTTTTTAGGATGATGGGCTGTTCACCCAATCATTCATCCGCCAGCATCTGAGAGCTGCCGCCTGCACCACACCATAAGGACACACCCCTGATGGAGATGTCTAAAGTGACCTCAAGGAGCTCACACTTAAAGGGACCAAACACCCTGAAGGGAGTTATAACACTTCATCATGTCTGGCCGTGGGGGACGGAGCCCCAGAGGCATGAAGGTCCTCCGACATGGCGCTCACCAGCAGTCACAACTCTACGCAACACACAGACACTTGCATTTTTTTTTGTGATTTTTCTGCCTCCTCTGATTTCATGTAAAAGGCTCCATCTTCAGCTAGTCCTAATATTTGGCCTCACTATCTTCCCACATAGCCATAGTCTGCTGGAGATTTAAAAGGGCCTGTGTTCTCTCGGATCCCTGCACCCTGCCCACTCTGCCCACTCCTGTTCACCCATCTGGTCCCGGGAGGCATTTCACCCTGGGAGCAGCCCCCCATAAAATCCCCCAGGAGTAGGGACTGTATTAGCCTCTGGGAAGAGGAGGGCCAGGCAGCAGCTTGAAACATATCAGGACAAAAGGCAAGGTTTTGCTAGCAGCTGAAACTTGCAGCGTGATTGACTGACCCTGGTCTCTGGTTAATGAGACAAACGATCAAGGTGAGCGATGTCTGCCAGAGGATCTCGTACACAGGTAGAAATCCCTGGGCTGGATACCAAATGCTGCAGGGAGCAGGGTGGAGAGACTCTGAAGCTAGGAGTCACAGGACCTAGTTCTAGTTCAGTTCAGTTGTCCTCCATGCCTTTGACCTTGGACAAAATTAAGCTTTCTGTGCCCTTTCCTTGTCTGAGAAATGAGGTCATTACCCATCCTGGATATCTCTCAATATGGTTGCCAAGAACAGCCAAGACACGTGAAAGAACACTGAGAAGAGGAACTGCAATCTAAACGGAAGGTAGTAGTATTTCAGAGGACTGTATTAAAAAGCTGAATTAAAGCTAAAATTAGAACACTGAGCTCTTCCTGCTGCTGTACTCCTGGGCCCTCCTCTCCCTCCCCTCCAGTTCCCTGGTCTTTTATGAATCACAGTCATCAGGAGCTATATTTCCAATGTGGAGGATTCCGGTGTACACTCTGCTACAACTCACCCTCTGTCTATCTCCCATCTGACCACATCCGGGTGTTAGTGCTCATAAAACCTGTAGTCATGGTGACGGTGAAAGGCCCAGCTCTCATTCGGAAAAAAGATTTTGGAGCTGGTTTTTATGGGTGTGGAAAGTGACTAGGTGAGGTTTTATTTTTGGAACCAGGAGCCTCTGAGGTCATCTGTGAGTTAGCAGCGGTTGGGGTGGGGTAGTGCCTTTTCTGCTCTACAAATAAAGGGAGAGTTCTGTTCCTGGCCCGCTCCAAACACTGATGCTTGTCTCCAAACGTCACATCCTCTTGGAGGGAAGGAGTGTTTTTTGAAACAGCAAGAGGACAACCAAACACTTGTGTCATTCCTGGCCTCCCACACAGGTGGTAATTAAAAAATAGACCTTCAATTAAAAGTTGCACAATTCTCCTTAATACCAGAGAAGGGAATTTAGAGTTCTGCAAACTTTGCAGCAGTAACAGAACGGCTGACTCCTTTTCCTCTGTGGTGATGCGAGAGAAGTTTATAGGCTGGAGTACTTGAAAACTAATGGGGCGGCAAAAATGTACAATTATGCAACTCAAAAGCAGGACAGAATTCTACTTTCCTTTCCATTTCCTCCTTTCGTTTAATGTTAACAAAAGTCCAGGGCAATTAAAAGCCAAACACTACCTTATCGCACTATTAAGCTTAAAATGTAAAGGCCAAATCACACAGTGAGTGAGCAGAAATGGTCTCATTTCAATAACAACTCATCCTGGTGGAATGGACAGTGTGGTATATTTCCAAGTCACCAGGCTTCAGGTCGCAGCCTCCACCCCAGAGGGTGACTGTGCAGGGGATTCACACGGCCTGAGGACCAGCCTCCACTTCCTTTCTGCAGGGGTGTAAATCTGCATTCCAAACGCTGCCTGGAGGCTCCTTCCTCTTAGAGTCTTGATAATTAATAGCTGATGAATGCAGAGGACATATATGAGAGAGCTAAAGTATTCATTGAACACCGTTCAGTGCCAGGCAGGCCCTTAAGTGCAGCTGCACTGTAAACATACTGTTGCTTCTAAACCTCTCTGGCTCCGCCCCTCCCCGTAACCAAATATCTTCCCCTCCATCTCAGAGATGCCCTTCCCAAAGGAAACTGAAAGTACAGTAGTTCCCCCTTACCCAAGATCTCACTTTCTGCAGTCCTAGTTACCCACTGCTAAAAATATTAAATGGAATATTCCAGAAATAAACACTTTACAAGTTTTAAATTGTGTACCATTCTGAGTAGTGTGATGACATCTTATACTGGTCCTTTCTGTTCAGTCTGGGACATGAATCATCCCTTTGTGCAGCGTATCCATACTGTATATGCTACCTGCCTAGTGGGCACTTAACAGCCATCTGGGTTATTAGATTAAATGTCAGGCTATCTCAGTGTTTGTGTTCAAATAACACTTACTTCACTTAATAATAGTCCCTCATTGCAAGAGTGGCAATGCTGGCAGTTCTAATACTGGAATATAGAACTCAAATGACTGGAAGTGAATGATAGGGTCTTTTTCATGGTACTGAGACTGAACCCAGGTCTTTAGACATACTAGGCGAGTACTCTGTATCTCTGAGCTATATTTCTGGCCCTATACTATATTTTAAAAATAAATTCTTTTAAATTGTTGTAAGGTGTATTGTTATAATGATTCTATTTTTATTATTAGCTGTTGTTATTAATCACTTACTGTGCCTAACTTATAAATTCAACTTTACCCTAGGTGTGTATTTATAGGGGAAGACCGCTGGCGGTCTTAGGATGTACCCCCCTCAGGTGAGGGGAGACTACTCTATTGCAAACGCACGATTTGGGAGTGTGGATGAGAGGAGTCGTTGAGGCGGGGGATCACAGGGGAGGCCCCATCAATACCACACACATCCCCTGGCCTCCTCTCCTTCTTCCTTACCCTCTACCCTGCCTCTGTTCTGTCTGTGCCTGGGGACATCAAGGCTTTCTAGAATGCTCTTGAGGCTCCTAGGAGACGGTAAGGTGGTGGGAGAGATTAGGGAACTCAGCCCCTGTCTCGGGGTCTCTGTGCTATGGCCTCAGGGCCGGGCACCAGCCTACACACTTTATCTCCCTCTGGCAGCCCAGATCACGCTGTTTATCAGACCAGCCATCAGGGTGTCCAGGTCCTGAAGGAATGGATGTTGGCGGAGACTCTTTGATAGAGCAGAAGAACCTGAAAGTTGGCCTGTGGCCCTGCTAGTTAGAAAGCAGGAAAGGGTCCTGGGTGGGTTTGGCTGGGAGCAGCCAGTGAAGGGGGCAGATGCCCTTGCATTTCCCCTCAGGGCTGGACAGCCTGTGGGCCCCAGGCCTCCTGACCTGGCTTTCACTTTTCCAGGTTTTATTTTTTGTTTGTTTGTTTTTTGTTTATGCTCTTGTGTGTGCAGTAAAAGAAGCAGGTCTGACTTACTCAGTGTGTGTCCTGGGGAAAGTCACTCAGCTGCTTGGGGCCTCATTTTCTTCATCTCCAAAATGGGATAAAATCTAAAAGAATAAACAAGAAAATGATAGCATGTGTTGTCTCTTTGGAAGGCAATTGGGGACAGTGCTGGGAAATGACTTTTCTCTCAGTCCTTTGGTACTGTTCCAAATGTCCGATCGCCGGCTCACACTTCCTAAAGAACAAGCACCTGGAAGTGAACGACAGGGTCCTGGGACCAAAGCAGGCAATGCATGTGATTGTACGCTGGGCTGTGACTCAGAGTCATAGTTGGTGTACTCTAGGTTGAAGAAGGGGCCATAACAAAAGCCTCTCCTTAATTCCACCTGGTGTCAAAGTTTCTGCCTGAAATTCCTGAGAGATTTCCTCCAGCCCTGGGAGGTCTTCCTGCCTTCAAGCCAGAGTGGATGGAGGGATGCTGCTCTCATCCCTTCCCGGGGTATAGAAAAGCAGAGGCCCGCCTGCTGGCTCCGTGCTGGGTGACTTGGGTCCTCCAGGTGCACAATGACTCCAGATTTTCTAGGGCTGGCGGAGCATGTCCACCAGCTGAGCAAGTTCCGACTAGCGCATTCCATCCAGCGCCGGAGGCAGTGGGGCCCAGGTCCCTGGGGTCAGTGAAGCTTTGTTATAGAACATGCAGGGTCCTCCTCAGGCTGCTGACTGAGTCACTAGTAAAAACGGTGCTGCCGACATACTTTATACTCGAAGAGGCTTGATGTCTACAAATAACAATGATCTGCATCAAGGAGAGGTGCCATTTGAATGATTTTCTCAGTTATATGTGAATTTCATTTCGAGAAGCATGAGTTAAGTATCTTCAAGGTGACTGACATGGTACTGGGGGGGGTAGAAGGAAATGCATGACCTGGTTCCCCCCCCCCCCCCCAGTGAGTTTCTTCCTGAGACTCAGAACACTCTAAGTCCTGCCTGCTGGGCCAGGTGGCAGCGAAGTGGTGGAACCTCGGAAGCTCAGGCTCCTCCTCCTTGGGCTGCGAAGACATCAGTGACATTGACTTTGGAGCAGGGACTTGGAGAGGCTGTCGTTGCTGAGGGCGACTCTATCTAGACCTGCAGGTGCCCTCTGCGTGAGAGAAAGCGGGAGGGAGCAGGGGACCCTCTGCCTTCATTTTGTCTCTGTCTCCTGAAGCTCCCAGTCAGGTCCCTGCTAAGCTCTGCACCCAGGCATGATCATCATTTAAGGAATGTTCACTTAAAAAATGAGTAATATGTGGTTTATTTGCCCTAAATTTACCCAAACTACCCCCGTTGAAGATGAAGGCCAGGTTTGCAGCGTCTGGTTTCAGAGCCTGGGGTGGTGCTTAAAAGGCTTCCCTCATTGTCCCTCACCTCCCAGGAAGAGCGGGAACAATCACCTCCCAGAGCGGAATTGCCCCTTCCAGGATCCAGGCCCATGGATAAACATCCTGAGCAACAAGTGGCAATTGTCCCCTCAAGGGATAGGGACTTTTCCGGTGCTATGTTGCAGTGTGGGAGGCCAACCTTACGGGTGACTGAGTTACACTCCCCAGCTGGGTGCTGAGGCGCTCAGTCACAGAAATGGGTGTGTCTCGCTACAGCCCCATGGTGAAGCTATGCTCACCTGTTCCTTTGTAATCTCACCCCTTGCCCTGTTTAGGATAGAATCTTCCATGGAAGTGCCTTGTGTGTGTCCCCTCCTCTTACTGTGCCCTCGGGTGTGGCCTACTCAGGAGTCAGTCAACCTGCTGACAGTGGACATCATGAAGACAGACTCAGCCCCCTGAAACCTGACCCCTTGCCTCATTTGAATAGCTTCTCCTCAATAAAAGGGGTCAGCGCGTGCTCTCACTCTCTTTCTGTGGACCCTTAAGGTCAGAGGAGCCGGCACAGCGACCCCAAAGTAAAAGGTATCTGTGTCTCTTGTGTGGTTATTTCATGCAGCCCGGTTAGCCCAGTTCAACTAGAGTGACCCCTGAGCCTTTTAGTCGCGAGAACAGAAACCCAGCATTGCAGAACCAGAACTGGAGAGTGATCAGCCAGACCACACTTGACCAAGGCAACCCAGTCATACAGACCGCTCAGCCCCACTGCCAATCCTTCCCCTACTTGGACCTAAAGCTCTGTCAGCACCCTGAAGTTAGGCTGAGATGCTGGGTCTCACTCTGCCTTCTCAACGTGGCCATCCTGATTAAAGTTTTCCCTGCTTTTCACCATGTTGTTTTTTGCTTGGGTCAGGGGGCCCAATCTGGTTCATGGAGACCCCTGGAGGCAGGCCTCTGGCCTAGGGTGCCAGTCCCAAGTTCACTCATCCAGTGTCACTGTGTAGGTTAAATATGATACTCATGCCAGTTCTCTGTAATCTGAAAATTCTCTGAAAAATTTAATTTTAAAAAATGATAGCCATTAAATGCTAAGCTAAATATCAGCAAGTGCCAGATGCACGCATTCTTAGGAAGGCGAGAGATGCATGTTGGCTTAGGGTTTTTTGGGAGAGGGATGCAGGAGGTGGCTGCGGTGGGGCTGCGTGTTATCACATGGAGGAATGGCATGCTGTGGGGGCGGGGGTACTGGGTGAGTGCACAGGGTCTGAGACTGGGATGGCAGCGAAGGCATCATCTGAGAAAGAGTGGGAAGGAGGCCGTGCAAGCTAGTTTGGTGGGATCTAACCAGGGCTCCGAAAGCCTCGAGTGGGTGTGTTGCAGTGGACCCCAGGAAGGTCAGAAGAGGTGCGCAGAGGGGACCTACTGGAATCCATGTTTCAGCCTCCACGTGCTCTTCCCTGAGCTCACTCACAACTAAAAGGACTCGGTGCCAGCACTGACGATTATGCAGGATGAAGCCCCCACCCCTAGGCCTTCTGGCGGTCTGCCCTACCCAGTTGGGTAGAGTAATCACAGATACTGCCACAAAAAACCCTTTTATTAATAGCACACTTTCTCCCTTAGACAAAATCTGATTATGACCTGAAATGAAATATCACCAAACCAATCAGAAAGAAACTGCTATTTATCTCCAGATCCCTTGGGAATGGGGGCGGGGCGGGCAGGAGATAAAACCGCTGATGAGATCACTTCTCCAGTCTGTGAACTGACACCCAAACGGGCCTTGGTTTTATTTACGATTAGGAAAAGTCTACCAACGTTAACACTCATCTGACTGTTTCGCTCCTGCAAAGGTTTCTTCTTCCCAGCCTCTGAAATGTGAAAGGGGAGGGATTTCTTGTACAGAGCAAAAAATTGCTCAGCATTGAAAAGCCAGCTGGTGGCCACAGCAGATGGCTGCAGCCTTCCCATTTCCCAGCGTGACGCTCTCTTCACTGCTCTAGGTCCGGGAGAGCAACACAGAGGGGACAGGAACGTTGGTCAAGGGCCGTCACACTCTGAGATCTGTGACTCTCCTCTTGCTTTGGGGTTTCCCACGAGCTTCTCTATGTGGAACCCACAACTGTTTCCCCATCACCACCACCGAGTCCCCTGGCCTGTATTCACCCTCAAAGTCTCAGCAGAGACCTTGGGAAACCTTTGACCTTGTTAAAGGTCAGGGCCCTGCTCTTAGACCTGCACTGTACCTTACTGTAACCATGTCCAACCAGCATTAGGGTAATTGTTGATTGTTTAATCATCTTTGTTTCGGCACAACGGATGGTATCTATTTCCATGACCACTCCCCCAACTTCTGGGACATATTTTGTCCTTGGGAAATTTCTGCCAAATTAATGAAAGAACATTTTTATAGATGGAAGTACTCTGAGGCCCACTGAAATGAAATGACTTGTCTGAGGTCCCACACACAGCTAATAAAAGATGACAAGGCTGATCTCCTCCCTGTCCACCTAGTGCTGCTTCCACAATGCCACACTGGTCTCTAGGTTCACACACGACATTGTCATCAGATAAAAGAAGATATTCGGGGGGGGGGGGGAAACCTGCCAATTGGAATTTCAGTATTCTGGGTTTGGAGAATTCTTTCAGCGAGGCAGCATGTTCAGACGCCAGATATGCTGGGGCGTTCCAGGGTGGGCACACTCTGTGGACAAAGACCACTGGCCTTAGTGGACCTTGGTCTAGTTGTGGGGTGCCATATTGGGTATTAAGATGACATCACTTGGAAGTGAGACTGCCCCCTGTGGTTGGAAAGCCTGGGCTGCCGTGCTCCTGGAATTCCCAGTGTTAGGGTTTGGATGTGAGGTGTCCCCCAAAGCTCACGTGTGAGACAGGGTGAGGTGGCAGTGAACGGGTTCTGGTCGGGTCTTTTAGTCCAAGCAGCGAACCAGCTGACTACGGCACCAGCGTTCTTGAATGGTGGCATTTCATCGGGTGATTTCCGGCTGCCAGGCCAACCGAGCAGAAGTGTGTGTGTCCTCCTCTGCGTCTCGTGACCCCACTGTGATTACTGCCACAGGCCCTGCCCGCTTTGTCCCCCGAAGGGGAGCTCTCTTTGCTGCCTCCTCTCTCCCTTTGCTGGGCCAGGGTTGCTGACACCATGGACGCCGCAGAGGCCAACAGCTGCCCAAGAGGTCACGTAGGGCAGCAGAGAGTCCAACTCCGCGTACGCTGGTCAAGCACCTCCTGTGCGCACACGGCTTCCCTCTCCTAAGCCTTTCCAGATAGCGCGGCCTGGTGAGAGTCTGGGAGGATTTCTGACCTCATACAGAGTCGGTCAACTCCAGGAAGCTGCTGCTTTGTTGGGAAATGGACTCGTTAAGTGGCCCCAGGGAAACGGAAGTCAAGGTTATGGAAGCTGTTGATCCCCCCGAGGAGTCAGTGAAGGCTTTAAGGGGGGTGAGGCTTGAGTGAGAACCCACAGGGTGTTTACAGGCAGCGAGGCTGGGGAAGAAAGCGGGTTCCAGGCTGCTGAAGAAAGCACAGCTGGCTCTGAGGAAGAGTCCGCGGCCCAGGTGGCCCGGCTCTGGCCGGATCTGCAGGGTTCCCACCTCCCCTGAGGGACGTCCCCTCAGCTCCTCCTCTGGCAGCGGCACATGGCAGGGATTCCTGAAGGCTGTGGCCCACGGAGGAGGACCACTGGAACTTTCCTCTCTGCACACCTCGTAAGGTGTTAGGACTGT